TTTTGTTGACGGGACTACGTGACACCAAACCGAAGATTTCTAAAATGCGGTTTCGGTTCGATTTTTCGATTTGACGATTTTTGCTTATAGCCCTGATTCTTCTGTACATATAAGGTTGTTTTTATTTGATTCCAAATTTTTTGATAGGCGTTGTTCTCCCTATCAAGCCGAGCCCTTTGGTAAGGTCCTTTCAAGATCGTACTTTCGCGTCGAAGTGGGCCCTTAGCACAAACTTTAACCCTGGTCATTTTGTTAATTTGAGTTCATCAATTGTGATCTTAGTTTATTGTTACACTTAAATCCTCAAGAATGTTAGTTTGTTTCAAGTTGATCGTTCTATCTATATTTATTAGTTCGATTATTAAAATAAGGAGGTTAATAAAAAATATTCAAATTCACGGATTAACTGTGATCGAAATAATATTTAGTTTGAAATCTAAGGTGAGATAAATCTATTATTCGGAGGGAGGCTTTTTGCTCAAATCTTTGAAACGTAAATAAAATTCTAAATTCTAAGATTGATTGTGAAATCATAAAATTGAAAAAGTTCTCTTCTTCCCAGATTGATGCTACACCAAATTTTGTACAACTGAAAACTAAACGAAAATGGAGAAAAAGATGGAAGAAAGAAAGTCGGAAAAAGAGAAGCCACTTTTATCTCACTGTTCCATTAGTTGCCGACAGATATCGGTTGCTGTGTTAACCCTAGCGGCGATCTGCATCGCTTCTGCCGGAGGATTTCGTGAACCACCGGTCTGATCTCCGGCTGCTGAAGCGCCGGGTGATTGATTCTCCATTTCTTGCCTGATTTTCCGAACTTGGCTATGAATTGGTACTCCGCCGATGGATCCGCCTTCTTTGTTAATTTTCTGCTCCATTTTAGGCGTAAGCAGAAAAGAAACCACACCTTACAGGCCTAACAACCACTGATGAGTGTTTATATATTGAGTAGGTAATTGGAAACAAATGTGATACATACCTTGATTTGCTCCAAGCTAATTACACAAAAGGTCAAGTATCTTATTAGTTGAAGTTAATGTTATTTACTCATATATAAGCAGTCTGGCCTTTTTTGTTTCTTTCTCTTCTTTCCATTCTCTGATTATCAATTGATATTGCTTAACTTTGTGTTTTGATTATTGATTGAAGTTTAATTTATTTCCACGGAGCCATCTTTCTGTTTCTTTGAAATTACAACTTTAACGAGTTTGCTTTTGCTCACTCCTCCATGCTTCACCATCCGTTTGGCAAAGCGGCATTTTTCCTTGTTGATT